CGGGGCCGGGCGGGTAGAGGCGGCGCGGCCGAGGGGAGCCCTGGCACCGCCCCCGCGCGCGGCGGTCGGGAGGGAGGGAGGGGGCGGGGCGCCGCAGAGGCACGAGCGTCACAGGGCGAGGCCCCGCCCACCGGCGCCTCGAGGGGAGGGGGCGGGAGCCAGGGGCCGGGGGCAGCGCAGGCGCAGTGGTTGCACTGCCGCGCGCGCGCGCACCGCGGGCGGTGGAGGGGGTGGTGTCGCGAGGCAGCTGCTTCCGGCGGGGCGGGCACGCGCGCGTGGGGTCGGTTGGGGCTGAGGGGCGCCTGTAACGGCCGTGGGGGACCCGTTCCTTCAGGCCCCGCGGTCCCCTCACCCGAGCGGCGGGCTGGAGCGGGAGCCCGCCTGTGTTCCAGCCGCCGCCTTTAGAGCGAGGCAGTGAGACAAACACGGTAGCTTCATGTCAGCTCCCCCTTCCCCGCAGTTAATCCCCGAGTAGATGAGGCATGTTCTGCCATGGTAAGGAGATGGGTTCCTGACGGCTATCGCTAGGTTTATAAACGCGTCTGTTTGTAGTGGCGAAAGCAGAACACGAGCTTCCCTGAGGGACAAGGGCAAGCTGAGGAAGTATTTACCGAGTGTAAGAGGAATTCATCACTGGTGGAAGGGACACGAAGCACTGAAATTATTAGGGATTTTTTTAAAGTCACAGACCCCTCCATGCACGAGGGGTTTAGAGATGCCAAACAAAGCAGGGAGATAGAGTTCCTGTGTTAATAATTCAAATAAACACGATGCCCTAATAACTCACCTCTTGCTGTTAAATCATTGACTTAAATGGGAGCTTTGCATAAACACAGTATGATTTGAACTCGTAAGCGATGAAACAGAACCAAAGCATAGCACAGAACTTGAGCGCTCAGTATGTGGGTTTATCAGGCTGTAACCATTTAGGAAACACACTAATTGTTTTGAGCTTTCCTCCTCACAATCAGGTTCACATCATGCAGCCATTGAGCTCTACTGGTGAAGCAGGTGAACTTTTCTGTACAAAACCCGTATTTTTTGTTCTCTGTGCTCAGTTTTCTGCAATTTTTCACATCTTGGACATTTAACCAATGTTTAGTCCATCTCCCTTTTGGATTTAGTTTTGTTTGCCTCACATGTCAGTATGAGCTAATCTTTGCATATTCCACAGAGCCTGAGAAACTTGATAGTAATAAAGGAGCAAACCAGATGCAGGTTGTTCTGATTAAAACACCAAAATGCATTAATTTACTTGAATAAATGTTGGGTACTGTTAAATGAAGGGAGAAAAAGAAAAGGGGGGGCCAAGGGAAGCTGGTAATACTGAGTCAACAGAACAGTCACAAACATTTTGGATATTTCATGACAGGCTATGATTAGCTCTTCCATGAGACCTTGAAAATGTTGGAAGAGGCTTAGCATGACCCTGTACACATATTGATTCAGGAGCCTTCAAGGAATCCTGGCCCAGCTTCTGCAGCCCTTTGAGTATTCCTGGACTGTATTACTTCCTAATACATATTCCAGAACCTTTCCGCTGGAAGAGTGGCTGAGTCACAGTTAAAATGTCATTAATACTGTGGTCTGTGGCTGTTCAACATTTCCTGCTGCATGGAGAAGTCAAGAATGATTATCCCATCTTCAATGCCTCCATTCAACCGTGTACCAAAATCACCGTGTTTTAAAAATCATTAGTTGCAGAGAACGTGTCACTGGTGGTTGACACGTGGTCACTCCTTCCTCTCTCGTTCCCTTAATCTTTTCATCCTTGTCCCTTTCCTTCACATCATGTCGAAGGGAAGCTCCAATGAAGCTCCAATGATGAAGTCAACCAAGTCTTTGCATTGTTTTTAACAGCAGTTCAGTTCATGCCTAAGAAGTATCAAATATATTCTTGTTGTCGTTACAGTTCAGATCAGAAGCGCACCTCTGACACTAAGCTCTCAAGTGTCCTGATTTGCTCTGCTTTGACTTGCAGTGCAAAGTGGTCTTGGGACAGGCAAACCGGCTTTGTGTAGGGTGGGACAATGAGAGGCACTGCAGGAGTGCGCCTCGTGTGCTTCCACTGCTGATGGACATTCTGTCCATCACCAGACTAGAGCTAGTGCAAAACAAACATAATACATACAGTGTAATTGCCAGTGACTGCTTCACTCTATGGAAATGCCCCTTTTGCACTATGCTACTTGTTCATGGATGTGGCCTTTGTGGCCTTTGTTCATGGCTTTGTGGCCTTTTGATCTCCCTTTAGAGATATCTTGTTTAAGACAATGAATGTCATTGTATTTTGAACTCTGTCCTGTGGCCCAAGCTGCGTTCCATAATGCAACAGAGCACAGTTTATAATATACCCCTCGGCCTCTGTTTGTCAAATGTCCACGGGCACCTTACCTTAGCCCGGTGGAAAAAAATGAGCTCTTTAACCCAAAGCTAACAGAAACATTTCCATGAAAGTGCATTACATGAATAATTCCTATTCAGTTGCTAGGAAGTGACCAGAGTGAGAGCATCCCTGTAGTTTTGGGGCGTAACTTTGGCTCTCTCAGTGTAAGAGAGCAACTGGTCAGAGGAGAGCAGGTATTGCAGCTATTCCACATCACTGACTGCATAGGAACTCAGGGTTGAGCAGTCCAAGGCAGCAGCTGATGAATTGCTCACTGCTCTCTAGTGTTTAAATGCTAGAGAGTGCACCTAAACCCATATAAACAGTGTTGTAGAGATCTGCAGTGTAGCCCTAAGGATGTATGAAGTGATTGTCCTTTGTTGTGTATTAGTGTATGTGGCAATACAACTCTGCACATAAAATACTTGCAGAAAAAAATTACAAAGTGTAATTAAGCTGAGATGTAATTAATTGTGTGCTGGTAGTATTTGCATTATGCACAAGAAGACAACTAAGAAATCAATTGATATTGACAAGGATTTCATTTATTCTAAACAGATGTGGTATTTTAAAAAGTTGTACCTTGTAGAGTTTAACCTTTAAATATAAAAAGCAGATAAAGTTGGGATGGGAGATGGATGGGCAGTGGACTGGCCAAGATCAGAGCAGATTAGTGACACTGTGAGAGTATGTCACGGTTTAACACCAGCTGGCAGCTAAGCACCATGCAGCCCCTCACTTATAGTACCCCCACCTCCCAGTGGGATGGCGAAGAGACTTGGAAGAGGGTAAAACCTGTGGATTGAGATAAGAACAGTTTAGTAATTGAAATAAATATAACAACAATAATAACAGGAAAAAGAGACAGATGTGTAAAACTCAAGAAACACAAGTGATGCACAATACACTTGCTTACAACCTGCTGACTGATGCCCAGTCCATCCCCAGGCAGTGATCTATGGCTCCCAGCCAACTCCCCCCAGTCTATATACTGACCGTGAAGTTTTATGGTATAGAATATCCCTTTGCTTAGTTTGGGTCAGGTGTCCTGTCCATGCTCCCTCCAGGCTTGTTGTGCCCGTCCTCACTGGCAAAGCATGAGAGACTGAAAAGTCCTTGATCGGGGTAAGCACTACTGAGCATAACTAAAGCATCAGTGTGTTATCAGCATTATTCTCATACTAAATCTAAAACCACAGCTCTCTATCAGCTACTAGAAAGAAAATTAACTCTATCCCAGTCAAAACCAGGAGAACTAAAGATACAGTGGACATGTCAGACAAAACATGTTCAAATCTTCAGGAAAAACACTAATGTGCAATTTCCTTTCCCAGGGAACAAAAACCATTTGTTCCCTTTAGCACACGTTTTGTAGCACACAAGATATATCTGAAGCATGCTTTTAAATTAAAATGCTTTATTTTTTTTTAATTTAAATTAAATGCTTTAATTTTATCTTAGATGTCTGTTGAGATGAATGAACCGTGTTCTTTGGAAAATCACCTTATCATGTATAAAAAAATCTTCCTTCATTTTTCTGAGGGACAAAACAGAAAGGGAGCAAAACCACTTAGTGGTTCTTAAGGAAACCCTCCTATTTCAGCCCAGAATTGATTAGCACCTGGTGGGTCTGTGGGCCTTTGTGTTGTAAAGTATGGCTGAACTGAAATCAAAACAGGGGGGTGGGATTTCCTGGTATTATGGGCAATTTCTTCTCTTTTATGCTGGTGGCACAACTACTGGAATTTATTAGGTAATGGTTTAACAATGCATAAGGATGCATGAAATGTATTTGTGATTTAATGGACTTTATAGGTAGCAGGACTGAAGGAAAGAAAACATCCAGCTCAAACCCACCCCTCCACCCTCAACAAAAAAGTAAGGAAAGAGCTAGGAGCTTTCACCTGCCTCCAGTTTGTACTAGTTGTGAGAAATCACAAGTAGCAAGTGATGCATATGGTAAACTATGGCTTGGCTGATTATCAACATGTTCATGCTTCCCAGGTTTGTAATTCTGTGTGCTTTTGGATGAGTGGGTAAGGGATAGTCAGGTTTTAGGGACATACTACACTTGAGGTATATAACTGGCAAAGCCAAGGGCAGATGCAGTATGTAGCTCCCGCCACACAACAGAGAGCAATGCCTGCCTTCAGAAGGTGATGCATATATTGGGGGGTTGAATCTCCATCTGAGTGTCCCTGTTTCTTTCCAAAAACTAGCAGAAGAATCTGATGTGACAAAGCTTATTTTAGTTCCTGCTGTTACGCAGTACAACTGCACATCCTAGGGGACAGCCTATAGGATTGGGATTCAGGTAATCCTAATTCCACTCTGTGCTGGCTGGGCTAGGGTTAATTTTCTTCTTAGTAACTGGTATAGGGCAATATTTTGGATTTGGTCTGAAAACAGTGTTGATAAGGCAGGGATGTTTTCGTTATTGCTGAGCAGTGCTTGCACAGAGTCAAGGCCTTCTCCGCTTCCCACATCACCAGTGAGCAGGCTGGGGGTGCGCAGGGAGTTGGGAGGGGACACAGCTGGGCCAGCTGACCCAAACTGACCAAAGGGGTGTCCCATACCATATGACATCATTTTTGGCAATAAAAAGTGGGGAAAGAAGAAGGAAGAGGGGGACATCAGAGTGAAGGTGTTTGTCTTCTCGCATAACCAGTACGCAGGACGGAGCCCTGCTCTCCTGGAGATGGCTGAGCACCTGCCTGACCATGGGAAGTGGTGAATCAATTCCTTGTTTTGCTTTGCTGGCATGTGCAGCTTTTGCTTTGCCTTTAAAGTGTCTTTATCTGAACTCACCAATTTTCTCACTTTTACCTTTTTGCTTCTGTCCCCCATCCCACTAGCTGGGAAGGAGCGAGCTGCTGTGTAGTGCTTAGTTGCTGGCTGGGGTTAAACCACGACTTATTCTTACAGTGTCACTAACCTGCTCTGATCTTGGCAAGTCCACTGTCTGTCCATTTCCCAACACAACTTTCATCTGCTTTTTATATTTAAAGGTTAAGTTATACAAGGCAGGAATAGTCTGGCTGTCTTTATGCTTTCGCAGTACATACAACCTAGGGACTATTACTGTGGTATGCACAGATAAACATCATTATTCTCAAAATGAAGGAACCCAGTCCAGATTCTGAATACTGCAAATCCACACACACACACACACACACAGGTTGTGTGGGCACTTGCTCCTACTACTGTTGCTCAATGCAAGGATATCTTAATCTGTCATCTGACAGAGGAGCTTCCCATCATCTGTGACTACCTCCAAACCTGTCACACATGTCCCCCTACACTTGCAAACAGATACATGCTCTGTAAAAACAAGATAGTGGGATTATTGTAATCAGCTATTGGGTAATGAGGTCCTTGCATTTGCTTAACTCTAATAGCTGTCCAAATGACATAATTCTCAGTGCTCCGTCTGAGTTAGACATGGTGCTTAGCACTCATAGCTTGCTTTGTGCCTATAGAGAAAGTGCAGTGATGTGACTTGAATAACAATGGATTCAAGAGTAATGATGAGTTTGCAGTCATTCATCTTGTCATTCAACAGAGCTAGGAGAAATTACATCATTCGAGTAGGTGACTAGGAATCTGGACATCTGAGATTTGAGAGTTACAGCACAGTTGATTTATGAGATATTAGAACCGATAAAAACATTATTAGGAACCTAGTTAAGGAATTACCAAAAGTCTAAAAATATACAGGCACTAAAACGTTTAATACAATGTTTATTATGTGTAATTATAGCAAGTCTTCATAGTTTAATTGGGTTTGGTTGTAAAAAATAAGACATGAAAAGCAGTATCAATTTGCTTAACCAATGCAGAGTGACATAAAATACATAGTTTTATGGAGTACCTGTCTGCATGGCACTGGTGTAACATCTCTAACTGACATTTGTTGGGATTGAGCTCCTTTATGGTATTGCCTTTCCTGAAAAATGTGTCCTTCCCACATACTGTTTTACTGAAATCAGTATTTGCCACTGAGTGCTGTTTCTCTATTTAGTCTGTGTGTTATATAACCCATACCCTGATGTGTATTCGATCAGAACACTTAAGGCTAACAATAATCTCTAAACCAGCATTGGTTTAAAATAGCTCACAGTAGACCTAAAGCCGTTTAATTATTCTGTCATGAAAATAACACAAAAAATACAGTAAAAAATATTTTACTAATCTTAGATGTATCTGTTACTTCTCTCACCTTTTCCTTTTAATCTCTTTTCTGCTTTCCATATCCTTCTTTTTCTGTTGCTCCTGTTTTCGTACTTTATATGGTTTCATACCTGCTTCATGGTTTTTACATGTCTTTTTACAGCTTTTCCTCTTGTGTTTCTCTAGTCTCTTTCCCTATCTCTTCCTTTCTTTCTTTGAAGATTTCCTTCTCCTGATGGAGACAAGCTATAGTGGAGTCAGGTGAATTGCAATTTGGTTTCTAGTTCTGTGGCCATGGTCACTTCCTCTCCCCGTATCTGTGTTTGCCAGTCTGGAAAAAGAAGATAATTTGGCCTCCATGCAGTTAGCTTTGACACATACTGGTGGAAAGCTCCGTGAAGCACAGCTCTGAAGTGATGGGGTTCATTGATTTCAGCTGACTGATGTCAGTAAAGAACATGAACAATCGTGCAATGCCTGATTTTAGTTTTAAAAATTATCAGAAAAGTCTTTAAAAGATGAGAGGTGTGGGATAAGCAACAAATGTTCAGTTATGAACACATTATAGTGTCCTATGAAACCTTGTAAAGGGAAACTGTGTGCATGTGAAGCCAGCCCTCCCATGTTCATTCATGTGGGTATTTAAATCATGGTTGCATGCCCCTAGTACCTTTGGGAAAAGACTTAGATAAGAATTACTTGGAGATTGTAATGGTCATGTCAAGCAGAAATCAAATGTTATCCATATCTTGACTATGTTCTGAGAAAAAGATACCCCTGTCAGTGTCAATGCATTTCTTCATCCATGGCTGTTTGCTATGAACCTAGCTTTTTGATGGTTGTCTATATAGCTTTCAGCTTTGAAGGATCTTAGTCGCTCTCAGTAAAGGAGTAGGAAATAGTCAAAGCCTGCAAGTGTTAAGTGCCTCAGGCTATACCGTAAGTTGTGAAGTAAAACTTGTTTAGTCTGTATGGCTACAATGAAAAAAAATGCAGATATCAGCATTCTGATGTTATTCTCAGGAACTAAATGTTTACAATCCATAACTGTGTACTTGATGTAGAGAGTGAAGATGACAAAAGATATTGTAGTATTTATGGGTTGTAAAGCCATAAACTACAGACTGTATCAGACTAAGTTGTGATTCATAAAAGCTAAGCAGCACTGGGTTAAGCCTACCTTAGAGGGAGGAGCACCTAGGATAGATACAGGACTTGTCTGAATGCTCACCATGTTTTATATTCACATTCCAGTTACATGCTTATTTTATAGCCCTGTCACTGCTGATCACTCTGAAATCCCATGGCACTTTGTGAAATAACCTAATATTACCTCTGATCTCCTGACCGGGTATCAATTCAGATAATCACAGCAACACCTCTTATGCATCCTGCAGTACTGACCAGAACCACTCGTGTTCACTGGCTGCCCCAGGCCCCAGTTCTGTATTTAGAGTTACTATGGGCTGTTATGTGGCTGCTGGTTTCTCTGATTAACAGTTCAGCTGAGGGATTCTGGAAAGATGCCATTCCAAGAAGGAGCTGGAAGCAGGCCGGTGAAGATACTGTTGGTGATTTATTTTGATTTTCATTCTTTAAATGAAATAACTTCAAGACTGGGTGTAAGATTCATAAAAAAAAAAACAACACCCCCCCAAGAAACCAGGAACAAAAAAGTACACCAGTGTTGCACTGAATATGGAATTCCTGGAATCTTTTCCAAATTGCTATAATTGAAATATATCAACACTATACAAAGTTTTCCCTTGTTCTCTGTTAAGTCTAGAGTATCTTCACTGAAAGAGTTTGCTTGAATTCATGCAAGAATATGAATGGAAAATGTGTTGATCCTTTCTCAGAGAAACCAAGTACGATTCAATTAAATAAAAAAAGTCATCAGAAATAGAAGAACTATAAAATTACAAAATGTTATTTTCATATGAATCACAATGTTCCCAGGGCATGCATTGTGAAGTGTGTTACAGAGTCAGGAATTTAGCAAGAGGCAGAAAACGAAGACAAAAATAAGCAAAGCAGTAATAATAATGCAGTTTTTAAAAGGTCCCCTGAAGAAGCATACCTGCTAAAGCAGGGTTAAAACCCTTTAAAAGGGGATAAGATAACCTCCAATTATTTGAGAGTAAGAGAAGATTTTCTCTGAGAACAATTTATTTCTATTGTAACTGTGTGCATGAAAGCTTCTTTAAGCAGCAGTTTTTGCTGAACACAGATTAGGGTAGAGCAGGTGGGCATGCAGGATTCATGCAGTAATTCCTGTTTTCTTCTACACTGATGATAGTGCTTGGCCAGTTGTGTTTTTTTTTTCCATGAACTGAGCCAGTTCAACATCTGTGTATCTAATATGCCTGAGATGCTATAATTAGAACATTGTTAATTATTCATCACTCTTAACTCTTCTCTTGAGTGTGGTAATTTGATAGAACATTTCTGAATACTGGAACAACACCTTGATCCAAGGAGCTTTCTGACAGTGCTGAAGCTGCTGTTTCTCATGTATGATCTTAGCCAATGTTACAATTTTATGTAGGTATAGAGGCTACTATATGTCCTTGAATATTTTTCTTGTTATGAAAACCTGGCACTATCCTTATCCTGGAAAAATCATGCAAATTTGTCTAGCTAAATACATACATTTGAGCAAAATGGAAAAGATTATTCTGTGTTTAAAAATTAAAGTGAATTTTAGGCTTATCAGTCATGCTGAACTGCGATTGCTTAAAGCCCTCTGTTTGCAGAACAGCTGTTGTGCAGACAAAGCAAACAGTGGCACGTTCCCGTCCATTATTTTGGAAGTGCTCTCTTCAAGAGGGTCAGCAAATAATTTGCTTTTCTGCTTATTCAAGACATTGTCAAACCACTGGAGTCAGTATTAAGATCACAGATCAATTTATTTGATCACCTTCCATCTCCTTTATAAAAGCTGAAATACAAACATATTTAACTCTTTCAGCTGCACTGACTTTCCCTAAGTAATACACTTTATGCCTGTCTGTTTGGAGATGACTACTGCTTCTTGGCACATATCTTGCACTTCTCCTAGGATTCCTAGGTCCACATGTAGTTTTCTCTGTAATGTTAGTGAGGCCACTGGACTATTTCCTTTCTACTCAGGTACCTACACGCAAGTCCAAATTCATTTCTGTTACGTGTTTCAAGACTATTTCAGACACTGCAGCATGGCTGATGGCAGCTGGAAACAGAAAGTTTGCTGTGAGAGATCTTGAAATGCTGCCAAACAACGTTTATGTAGGAGACATGCTCTTCTTGCTGTAGATCTGGCATTCCCCCATGACCAGTTTTCAAGCTAGTGCCTGTACAAAGGTCTAGGATTAAACCTTGAACCTCACGCTGCCATTGTGCACAGATTCCTGTGTACAAGGAGACTAGCAACATGGTGACCAGGAAAATGCACAAATACAATGCAAATATTATAGATAGCTATAGACTCTCCCCATGCTTTCCACCCCTGAGTCAGATTAAAAGCTCCTTTATGGAATGTTTCCCTGTTTTGCTGAATGATTGTTGCTTTTGTACCCCAGTTAAATTCAGTCCTTCTCCTTAGGACTCGGGTGTGGGAGAGCGTGGTCTACAGAGTGCTCACTCCTAAAAATTCTCTGAGTTGAGAGATGATCTTGCTGTGCTTATTGAGCTTCTCAATTTCAAACACTAGCTCTTGGGGACCAGTTTTGTGAGGGAGCAAGTCTACTGCCCTGTGCAGCACCTGTAGGTACTGTGGTGCAAGTGCTACAAGTAGGAGCTGTGGTCTCTTGTGGTGTGGATGGAGGTGGATGTAGAGGAGGGGCTGCGGTCCTCCTGTAGGGCTTCTGCTCTCTCATACTCCCAGCAGGAGGAAGATGCTATTAGCCCCCACTCACCATCCCTGCTTGGTGTATGCAAAGTGTATAGAGATTTCTCTCCTAGTTTGTCTCCCTGCCCCCCTGAAGTGCTGCTAGCTCAGAGGGGAAAATTCTCTGTGGCTGTCGTATCCTCTAGGTGAAGGAAGCACTTGGCAATGTTCCTTCTTGTGCTAAGGGGCAAAGCAGAGTGCAGGGGCACGTTGCAGGGGCTCAATTTCCTCTTAATAATCAGTCTGGACTCTTGTCTTTCTCAGGCTGATGTATTAGGAATTTCACTCCAGGTTTATTCATGGTGGAATTAGTGGTTATGGATGCGCCATGTCCCAGCAAAAAAAAAGCGAACAAAACAAAACAAACAGCTTTCTTTGAGCCTCTGATTTTGTGTAAACCCAGAAAGATAGATATAAAATGTTGCTTCTCCTGGCCAGGTTCTCCTTCCTTGCCACCCCAATGAGAGAAAAAACCAAACCAAACAAAACCAAACCAAAGTTGCAGCTCTGCATGGAGATTATCCTTCTTCAAAACCTTGGAACAGTTGGGGTTGAAAGAGACCTTCAAAGGTCATCATCTAGTCCCATTCCCTGCTCCCCCCCAAAAAAAACAGGGGCATTTTCCACTAGATCAGGCTCCTCAGAGCCCTGTACAGCCTGGCCTTGAATGTTTCAGGGATGGGGCATCTACCACCTCCTCAACCTGTTGCAGTGTTTCACACACTCACTGTAAAAAATTCTTATTTTTCATCCCTAATCAAAATTAGCTCTAATGAGCTCTAGGTGAATGTAGAAATCTGGATGCCTGAAACCCATGGCAAGGCCTTGGTGTTTATTAAGAATACAGATGAGATTGTGCACATGTAAAGAAAGCCTCATTGTTTAATAGGCTGAAGATCAGGCTGCATCTCAGTATTTAATAATGAGAATACTTGCCTATATAAAATCTCCCCACCCTTTTCTGTCAGAAGTCTTGCAAAAATTCGATACTTGTATGCAAAATTCAACCAAAACATTATTTTTTTCCTACCTCCTCTTTTCAAGCCTAACACCTATGTCCTTCGCAAGTTTTGATATTTTTCCTCCTCCAACATTTCTGGTTGCCGATGTAAATACATGCCATTATATTTAGAACATTTTGACATGTTTTCCAGGTGCTACCAATGACAGTTCTACCAATGCTTTAATGGAAAAGCTGCGTTTAAAATATCAGCAAAGACCATGGACTGAAACTCTGAAACTTGTCCATTTTTGCATGGTAAGAATTGCAGATTAGGTGAGAGAAGGATCTGCGGTGTTACAGCACCGGATTAAAAAAAAAAAAAAATACAAAACAAGCAGCAAAATCTTTCCTGCATTATTTTAACACTTTAGAGGTTGCTTCTTGCATTATTTTAGCTTCAGGAGTTAGCTCCTATTGTCCAGTATTTCAGGTTATTTTCCATTCATTATGATTAGCACATTCATAGTATGTAAAGATAATTTCTTGCCCATAGGACTAGGAGAAAAGACTTTTTCAGAAACTGGTCAGAAACTTGCTATCTAGCCTCCCTCCTGCTGTGATATACCTTAAGTTATTCCATGCCTCTCACCCTTCCAGTAACTAATTCTATTTAAGAATCATCTCTGTAAAAAGCAGATTACACAACCACTGTGAGTTTAGGATAAAAGTCCCATTTGTTTCCATGCTTCTTTTCATTAATGCTGAACTAAAGCCTTACTCTGAAAACAATGTCCTGAGGCTGAACATAGTGAAAACTTTTCAGCAGTGAATGTTCTTTGTGAACTGAAGTGTGAAGTATGAGAAGTTTTCAGGCAAGAGCTAGAAGAGAAGCTGGGAGAGTTCGCTTGCTACTCAAGTTAGTATCTTCAGCTGGGACTTGCTCCCTGAGTCTAACCAAGTACAGCTACGGCACTTACTGATCTCTCCTTTTTACTCAGGCAGATTCCTCCTAAAATGAAAACCTAAGTAATTTCTTAGTTGACCTCTAGTATCATGGTGAAATTAGCTGGCATAGCTTGTGTTCGACTCAAAAGAAAAAGGAATGGAGAGCCACTCCCTGCTCCGAAGACCTCTGATACACAACTACTGCACAGTGTGGTCTTCGCAAATCCATTCAGTACTTCCACTTCAGAGCTAGCTAGAATCATAGGTCACCTCTATGTTTGACAAAAAGAAGTAAATAGTGTTTTGTTGTACTGGGCATGTGTGTTCTGTCTTGAAGTGATATTCTTCTTTGGCTAGTAATTTAAGGAGTCTTTCTCTGTCTTGTTTTCACAAATGTGCTAGGATAAGCCACGTCAGCCTGACAGCAATGCTCCAGATGGTCCATTGCTCTCTTGCATGGAGAAGATACAGAGGATGATAAATGGTAATGAGCTGTCAGATAACTCAAGAGTGTATTTTTTAATATAATATTCTAGGGAATCTCCCATCCTTCTCTATTGATAATGTTCTATACAAAGGGGTCAAATGTACAAACATAGAGGTGGATATGGCACAAGGGACTTGTGACTCATCTTTGGGCTAAGCCTTCAGGCTATAAATATCCTCAAAATCTGCGAATAAGCTCTACCCAGCACAGCCCTCATTAGGGTAAGAGTTGTCATTAATAACAAGAAGTCATGCAAGAGATACTGTTTCCTCATTACCTAAACCATACCCTTTAAAGCAGGGTAATACTGGTTCTACTTCTTGATCATTGCAGCCTGATTAAATAACATTTCCATTTTTTTGCAGCTAAACCTTTGTTTTCTGTGATGAACAGATTGGAATCTTTATCCAAACAAAAAGGGTAAGTTTGTTTATGAATAAAGGCAAATGAGCAAGCATGGCCTCAAGTCCAGTGAGGAATACCATCTCGATGGCTTGCCAACAATATTCTTGTTTAGCTTGGTGTATTACTCAGAAGGGGCACAACTGCGAATTTTGCTTTGCTGTTTATAGAGGAAGTTGCTAGTTGAAGGGAAGGCATGAATGCCTAGGTCCCAAAGCTACAGACAGAGGTGACTAATTTTCAGCAAACTACATGAAAATGCAAAGAGCAGAGCACCGATATATTGCCTGGTTGGACAGTTTTCAGAAGCTGAGCCAAGGAAAAGTTATTTTTGAAGCATCCCTGGTGTCTTTTCCCACGACCAAGTGAACTATCCCCATTTCCTTTCTTTGTGTGACAGAAGTTTTAGATATACAAGCCTTCTTTTGTTTGGTTGGTTGGATTTTTCATTCTCTCTTTCCTCTCCCCTCAGGCTTAATGCTCATGTTAGCCCCAGTGGGACTACCTGCTACGTAACATCAAACATGTTTTATGTAGAAGTTCAGCTGGAGATGGATGGAAAGGTGGTGGATGTGAAGTTAGCTCACCTTGGAGATGCTCCTGTGGTAAAGTTCATTTTCTCTGTCTCACACCTCCCTGTAGTTTCACACTTGGTCTCCAATGCAAAAATACTTACATTCTCACACTTTGGTGTTATTAACATACAGTAAATAACAGGGTCTGAAAATATTTTCCTGCCAAGGTGTAGTGCGATATATATTCCCAATGAATGTCTTGGAACTGTTACCAGAGATTCTGGGATGTTTTTTCTGCCTTCTTTAGGAGTATGTGCATTCCTGCTACCAGGATGTTGTTCTTGCAAAATTTCCATCAAAACATTGGCAAAATGTCACTCTGCAGTTCACATTCCATGTTCTGTAGTTGTTCGTCCATCAGATGTAAGATCCTTCAGATCAAAGAAATAACAAGCTGTTGGGGGGGGGGCAGGGAGCAGAAAGTCTGATTTTTATCAGTAAGTATCCAAATTGTGACATTCATTTGGAGTTAATTTAGTCCCAGTTTTTCAGTTGCAGTAGGCCCAGGAATTTCAAGTTGTTTTTCTTCACCAGCACGGGGCTGTTGATCAGTGAGTGCTGGGTGATATTATTAGGATGGGAATGCATATTCAGACTTTTAGTAATGTCAATAAAAGGAAAACTGGCAAAGATGATTTTTTTTTTTTTCCCCCATGGAAGAATTTAACAACAAGCTGTTAGCTTTATCCTGTCAGTTTTATCCTCTTCCACAGAGCCTTTGTCCTTCTAATTATTATATTAATATTGTGTTTTATTTATTTTAATGTTAGTCTGGTTTTTGTTGTTTTTTGTTTTTTACTTTTTTTAAGCCAACCATTCAGCTAATTAACAGTAATGGGCAAGGAACAATCTTATGGTTACCAGTGAAATGCCTTTAAGAGATGTTTCACAAAGGATGGTAAGAAACAAGAAACTCCTCTCTCTTATTCCTGTAGGTTTGCGATGACATGGCACAGCATCTAAGGTAAAGAATCATGTACAGAGTCTCTTGTTGAATTGAAAGGAATTCCTAGTCAAGCTGGAAAGGGTCATGGAAGAGCCAAGTGACTTGTTTAGGTTTCTGTCTGGAAAGGATTTGTCTCAGTGTGAAAGTCCAGGCAGGCTTATTTGGGTTCTCTGCTGATCCGCATTGCAGCCACACCTGCACAGAAGGGGAAGGTATGTCTTCCTGAGTACAGATCTCTGTAACTGCAGCACTAGAGAGTTTAGTAAGGCTTGAAAAATCCATTTAAGCGGGTAAGTAAATACTTGGTGGCTTGGTCCAAGCAGAGCTCCAGGCTGTCACAGCTAGTCAGAAGCTGCAGGAATTCTGGATTATTGAGCAATCTGAACCATTCCTTCACAAACTTAAGCAAGCCACTTGTCCCTTGTTCTTCTTTTTGGATTGATGTATCTACCAATTGTATTTAACATCTGTCTTTCTCAGTGCACTGAAATGCAGTATTAATACAATCCTTGATAGTTTGATGAAAAGAACAACGTACAAGTGGATTGTATTAAGGAAGTGTTACTATTTGACCAGCTTTATTGAAACATCGGGAAAAGTGCTTTGCAGCTGATGAGCTGTCAAATTTGTGTATCATGCAAATTTATTGCTTTCAGTAGTGCATGTTTAACCAGTGTTGGCTGTAATTATATTCGCAACAGAACCAAGGATTTGTATTTCCTGTTGTCTTCTAAGAAATTTAAAAGGAGTACTGCTACTGTAAGATCTGATAAGGAGGAGGCCTACATCACTCTAACATAGTGCTTTTTCTAGCAAGTTAGATATAAAAGAGCACCTCCCATATGAAGGCAGGCTGAGTAAATTGGGGCTGTTTAGCTTGGAGAAGAGAAGCTGCATGGAGACCTCAGCAGCCTTCCAGTATCTGAAGGGGGCTTACAAGGATGCTGGAGAGGGACTCTTCATTAGGGACTGTAGTGATAGGACAAGGGGCAATGGGTTTAAACTTAAACAGGGGAAAATTCAGGTTAGATAAAAGGAAGAAGTTCTTCCCTGTGAGGGTGCTGAGGCGCTGGCACAGGTTGCCCAGAGAAGCTGTGGCTGCCCCATTCCTGGCAGTGTTCAAGACCAGGTTGGATGGGGCTTGGAGCAACCTGGTCTAATGGAGGGTGTCCCTGCCCATGGCAGGGTGCTGGAACTAAATGATCTGAAAGTCCTTTCCAACCCAAACCATTCTGTGATTATCCATTTCATTTACTAGCATGACAGCAGTTTTTTCTTTTTGGTAGGATGAAGAACTATGATGCCTTTGGAAAGATTCTAGAAGAGCTGTCAAATATGTATCAAATTCCAGGAGACAGGTTGCAATTAGTTTTTACTTGAAAACTTACAATCCATACCCTAGCTATTGTTTACTTACAGAAATAATACTTTGTGTTCTTTCTCTCCCAGTGAAATGAAAGCTAAGGGATACCATGCTTTGCAGGCCCTTGAAAGAGATCTCTATTCAATGTCTCTTCTGCACAGGTAACTTGAAGTCTCCCTCTTTCTACCCTTCCCTCCACCCCTTCATTTCACTAAAAACCAAATTAACTGATCTAATTATAGAGAAGCGTGTTGAAGGTTAATGAGTTTTCTTGCACTGGAAAGCCTGAAGCTTTTCTGCAGTTTGTCAACCAGGCACGCCAAACAAGACCATCTACTGAACTCATGTGCTTTATCTGGGAGACTTGTTAGAGCAGAGCTTGGGTGTGTGTGTGCATGTGACCACCCACGGGAGCAAACAGCGCACCTGAAAATCAGCAGTCACATTTGGATCTCCCTGTGGCAGACGTAAAATATCCCTTTTGGGGTCCTGCTGTTTGAGCATCAAAACTTAGGTTTTAGATGAGGAGTAGTGGATGCTACCTTTTCTTCTATCCTTCCTTTTCTCATTTCTCCTTTCAAAGGGTAGAATTACAGACAGATGGGGAACAGATTTTCCTAAACCTTCTGGTAGTTGTACGATGATTTTCATTCTTTTAAGAGTAACAGTTGAGGGCAGTGTTTTCCTTCTGGATTTTTGAAGCATCCTTTCTGATATCTTGCCCTCAGCAAGCATTTTGTAACTTGAAACACACCCTTGATTTATTTTTGTACAGTGTTCCTTTATGAAGCATACTAACTGTGTGAATAAATATACTATATCCTTGCTGATCACTGATATCTCAGTAAATATTATTTATGTGTTGAACAGATTATTCATCCATCTATGATGTAAGTTAATGCACTGCAGAGTTTTAATACACAGCCATATAATTGTATGGCTGTATATTCAGCTGTATGGTCACATTTGTGCTTAGAGATTGGTTTTGTTGGAGTTAAATTATGCAGTTTATTTCCTCACTCTTTGCTCGACCTGCCACTCCAATGTTTTTGTTCCACTTCATTTCTGCTAAATAGCACATTAAATTGCAACATGAAACAGCTCAGATACAGGGGTGAAACTGGAAGCCCAAGTCTTAGGAGTAAAGCATGAATGGAATTACGGTGTTTTGGAAGCTGTCATAACAAATGAAGACACAATCTACTTCCAAGAAAGCACTGTCTCCCTTTGATTAAGGGTGCAAATTATCCTTTACATGAGCCGAGCAAGCACTGCAACTCAGGAAACACTAATCAAGATGTGTTTTGAACTAGATCAGAGGATGTAAACAGAGTCATAGAAGTACTTCATGGAAAAGTAGGACACCTGGTGCCAAGAGCTGGAGGTGATTTTTTTTCTTTTTCTGAATTCAAAGAATTGTAATAAAAACTCCTACTATTTTTACTTGATCTTTTGTTTTGTTGCTTATCTTTGTTTACAGTAAAGATTCATCATGATAAAACATGCTGTAGGGATTTATCTTGTCTGTATTCTCACATGGTGTGCAGACATACAGAAGGAAACAATACAGAAAAGCCAGGTGGTTTATCACTTCCTACAATACTGACTTTGCAGCAGCCTAAAAACAAAGGTAGTAATATTCTGAGGTGATGTGGGAAACCACAGTTTGGGAGTAACCATGAGATGACAGCAGTGGTAGCTGAGAAAATCCTCATGTTGCATAAATGGCAAATACAGTCAGTTGATAAGGATTTTTTGGCTCATCTACACTGTCAGAAGCAAGCTTTAATGCTTTCTAGTTCATAAAAGTAATTTTAATACATGCTACCACTATCCTGTTGCACAGCTTGATGTTAAGTGTCCTTTATACAAGTATTACAACTTTCCCTTCTCTTTCCAGCTAGACACTGAAAGCTCTAGTTTAGCTAGTATATTTTAGGCTGAACAACAGGTTATTGTACAAGAAATAAAAATTGATTCTAATCTTTTCAAAGATATCTGATGACTGTTTAACTGTTAAATCCTGACATATACTGTATTTTGAGCATATACTGTAATTAGAGGTGTACACTTACGAGGAATCCCCTTCTGCCCACCTATACTGTTCCTGTTCTGTTCCCCTTTGTGCAAGATGCCTTGTAGTGACCTGTGTAGTAACTATTTTTTTTATTCCTCAGGAACACCTATGAACATTGAATTTTATATTTCTCCTTATCAAATTTTGGAAGAAGAACTAAATCCTGGTAAGGCTAGAAAAGCAGAAATAACTCGTGATAATTTTTTCAGTGCTGTTTCATTAAGTTCATTAATTAAACTCAGAAATAAGACTTAAAACTCTAGTTTAGCAGAATGATTTATGTGATGCACTTCAGCATGATTATAACGTACATCAGGAAACTACTTTCCCATTTCTTGGCTTTTGACCCAAACTGAAGTAAGAGTGATATCAAACAAAGTAACTGCCTAGCCAGAATGAAAATGGTGGTTGTTTGATCTATTTCATGGCATATTCCAAAAGCAGCTATTGCTTTTGCATTTTTGGTATGGTCTGTGAAGCATTCTCCTTGCTGCCCAAGCCAATGAGGCTCTCAACTGGACCCGACTTTTAAAAGACCTTCCGATTGCATGTTTTGTATGCACAGGTTTAATCTACACTGACACAAGGAAAATAATGCAGTTCTCTTTCTCCCTCAGGTTCCCAGGTATGTGGAACAAAGACAGCTGTAACTGTTGAAGGCACAGATACGCTCCACAAACTTTCTCTTTCTCCACTGCTTGCAGATTCTCAAGGCGGAGAGGATGGGTGAGGCTCTGGACACTTCTCAATACAGAAATGGATTTACAAGTCATCAGCGCTAACCTCAGCATAACTTACATTTAGCCTGTGCTAAAACAGGAAGCTCTGTTCTATTGATGATGTTATGCTCCCCAGCTACACCAGCTATAACCTTTGGCTTTTACGTATTTCCCAAATGGAATATAAAGTTATTGTGTTTGTATTTAGCTGTGTCAATTACATTGAACTATGGATTTATTCATAGATTTGAAGCCAGAAGATATATAGAGAGAAATTGAACCTTAACTATACAAAACAGTTTGTCATCCCACCATCGGTACTGACACCTGATCTCTATACTTCAGTGTCAGTCCTTCTCCAAAATATCGCTATAGAAGATTTATAGCTAACAGCCTTGTGCACTGTTCCTCAGTTTCCCATGGCTCACTTTTCCTTTCTTCCAGTCTTTACATTAACCTTGTTTTACAATGTTAAAGGTTGTAGCTGCATATATATATAGCGAAACTTTTCTCAAGACAGAAAGTATGGAATGTAGTAAACTGCAAAGGGACCTGATAGTGGCCTTGCACTACAAGACCTTGCATGTCAATTTTTGTATCAAGCTTTTATTCTTTTTCTTTTCCCTCAGCAACCCTGTTTTTTTGCCACTGACTGATGAACTCAGCATGGATTTGCCAGCTTTCTTTGTGTTGAAGTTTCACCAGCCTATTCCTATGTCCTTATCCAGTATTGAAATGATACAGAGGCTGACAGGCATGTTCTAATTGTTTTTAAGACTAAGTAACCAAGTAATTGTTTTTAAGACTAAGACTTTTCTGTGACTATGCACTGCCTATTCACCTTTTATTTCCCTGTGTGAATGTTGTAAGAAGGAAAACTGATTTCTGGGGCAGAACTTGTTCTGTTCTATCAGCTCAAGTGTAACATTCTAGCAACCAGTGCAAAAGAAGAAGAAAAGTATCACAAATTACAGGCAAAGCTGTTAAACACTCTACCTCAAATGTCCATTAGCAAAAAAGGGGGTAAGAAAGGAGATGGATGTTTTGATCTTTTCAAAATATTGGGTTTGTTTTTAATATAGGCTTTCATGTGCAGTCATAACCTAAATGCTAATTTAAAAAAATCACCTGGTTTCAGGAATTCAGATTACTGGCTTGAAACTAGCTCCTCTGTATGAACTGATTGTTCAGTCTACCCTTAAAGAGAAAGGCAGTGAAGATGTGTCTACATACAAATCCCATTTCTTTGTGGTGAGTATAGTGTTTGACACATACTTTGCCCTTGTGCAAGATACATACTGAACTGTATTTCCCCATAAGCAAGCAGTGCAGACTTCCCAGAATCCCAATAGTATTTAAGTGCTCCTTAGGAAATAGTTCAAATTATTTATGAAACAGTGGTAGCCCCTTTCAAGTAAGTGAGCTTCTCATCCTCATTAATGAAACACTGCATGCATGGCTGTTGAAGTCATACTAATTTGTCTGTCTGTAACCCAAATACTTACTCTTGTAAAAATTGCTCAGAACTTTACCATTAATGCCTTAAAAAGAAGGAAACTTATTGACTGGTGTAAGAAGCAAGTCTCAAGATGGTGCTTACCTAGACTTTTGAAGGTCTTTATCATGCTGCATGTCACGCTGCATATCATGCTGTTTTAACAAAAAAAGATTTATTGATTAGGTAACACTGAGAATACTGATTCCTTTTAAAGGGACTGGCAGGAGGAGAAGTGTAAAGTGTTATAACAGTGATGTCAATTACAGTCTAGAGCCATGATGGTTTAACTATAGATGGCTTCCCTTTTAATAACTAAATACTTAATTTAGGCTGCATTAGTTGTAGAGATAAAAACTTACAATAGAAAATGGTGGCTTTCTGCCAGATTTAACGTACAGGGCAGCTAAAGGTCAAGCTTCAGTGATCTACTTTTTTTGCTAAGAAACATTAATTTTACAATTAATGGCAACAAAAGATAAGGACACTTCTTTCTCTTCTACTAACAGTGGTAGCAGAGCCCATTGCCTACATAGTTCCTGGACTTTGAGTTGGTGGTAGTAGCAAGCTTACACCATGCTAAAATGAGATGTAGCAAAGCTTTCGTCTATAAAGCCCTTAAGACAAACTTTTAATTTCCATTAGACACACACAAAAAGCTCTGTAATTTCAGCAACCCCCTAAAATATTAGTACTTGCTAGAAGATTGCTTCACTTCTGAGTTTAAAGGTTTTACTTCTAAGAATAAATTACTAAATTTCTAACCTCAAAAGGAATATAGTGGAAACCCTTTTGCTCCATGAACACACAAAGAAAAACTGTTCTACTCTGCTTTTCAGCTTTTCTTAATGTAGACCCTGCTAATTAACTGCCCTGCCCTGTTCTTAAGGTGACAGTTGCCACTTGGCATCCAGAAATAGGTAACAATACCATATCGCGCTTCTAATTTTGTCAGAGAATCACTGTTGACATGGACAGGTGGCAAATTTTTCTTACTATCTCCTCTCCTCCTCTCCACACGAATCATCAGGAGATCTAATCAGGAGATTCTAATCAAACTTCTCTAAAGAAAGCCGTAGTGATGTCAAGCAGCACTACTATGATATTCTTTTGAGGGATTTTGGTTGTTAACGTTTCTATAGCCTACAAGGTTCTTAAGAATATTTGGTAGAATAGGTGGCCCTTGAAGTCCTGACTGCTTGGCTCTGGGTATATTCACTTAATTTGGATGCATTTGGGAGGGAGAGATCATCTCATTTTGCTTCCTCTAAGGATTATATTTCTACTGAAATGCAAAGACATGATGGACATGCTAGCAACATGTCTTCCAAAATTATTTGTTGTCAGATCATGCAGGTGCCTGATATCATCAAGCTTTAAACTTTGTTTCCAGTGCTTGAAATATCACCATATTTGTTGTTCAGTCTCTTCCAGATTGCCCAAAGCACTGCTACTTCATAAACAATGGCTCAGAAAAATCAGATTTAGGAGGTGCCTTGGTCAGTAAAATCCCATTTAGCCATCCACAGAGTGTGCCTGGTGTAATAGAGATTCTTCGACATCAAGTGGCATATAACAGTCTTATTAGCAGCTGTGTCTCTGATAAGCATATAAATGAAGGTAAATTACATGGTTGGAAGTAATGGCAGAGTATTAGAGAAAAACTAGCTTCTAAGCTGGGTGTTAACAGATTTACTGCTCCCTTGCCAAAGCTATCACTACTTGTATTTTAAATGATAAAAAAATCCTTAATTCTAGAATTACATTCTGTATATGTGTGTCTATATATATAATAATAATATATATATATTATATATGTATTAATCCTTTAGGCCTGACACTTCTTATAAGCATAAACTAAGTTGACAAAGTAATGAATTACATTCTACTGTATCAGTATTTTTTTAATTCTGGCATGTGATGCAGCTGTAAGAGTCAATGGATATCACTAAATAGCGGATTTATTTCTAGATGGTACAGAACTGCTTTACTTTGAAGTGGCACCACACAAGAACACCAGCTTTTCTGTCTTTTTCCCTCATCCCGTGAATGAGAATTTAGCCTCTGGTATGTGTGGAATAATTGATACTGTCCTCATTACTGGGCTGACAAAGGGATTTGATTCTATCCAGGCTCTTGCTTCTCAGTTGCAAGAACATTCTAAGAGCTACTCTCGATGGTGTGCAAACCATGAAAACATAAGGAGCACTTGTATATAAACTGCTTGCTGAACTGTTCAGTATTTGGCATAGAACTGAAAGTAAACACAACTAATCAAGTCCTCTTCTGCCTTGGCCTGCAGTTAATTCATAAATTGTAACTTGTGTTATTTTTAAGTATACTGGGAAAAAAAAACCCAAGTGTTATGCAAGAGCATTGCTGCAAGCCCCATCTCATTGACTTCAGTCCTTCCTCTAGTGAAGCATCAGAATGAAAGGCTTGTTTTTCATGTTTATAAAACTGTTTATTTTGAATTGCTTACATTCTACTCTTTTTTAGTGACAATTGATGTTATAACCTCCAGAGAAATCCAATGTCACCTTCATTTAAATCCTCAAGACCCAACTCTCAATTCTAGTGATGACTTTATAACAAGAGCTGTGAAGCGGTAAGCAGCTTTATTTCCCAACACATGGAGCGAACAAACCTCAGGTGTCCATTTTAATGGAAAGATCTTGTGTGTTCACAAGGCCATAAGCTCAGCAACCAGACAACTTCACTCTAATAAGAAGTTACAATAGTGAGAATAAGTTACTTCGGTGTCTTAAGTATCTCTTTCAAAAACTTTAAACATGAATAGTGATGGAAAGTGTTTCTTTCAAGCAGAAAGCAGATGGGGCAGGGAAATACTTTTGAATGGAAAGTTCTACCTTTCATAAAGATGCTTTTTTCATTTGTAAACATGCTTTTCTCAAGACTTGAGCTGATGACAGTCTCATGACTGCTATAACTTAAGAATAGCATGGAAAGGGATCTTCCCATATCTCACACCAATCAGTGCTTCCTTTCAGAAAGGGAGGAGTATACAGCGTATCTACAACAGTGTGTCTTGCTTGCTTTCGGAAGCAAATTCTGAAACAAATTCTGAGAGGCAAGTTGCTGTGATTTAGGAATATACTCTAGAGAAAGGACTGACAGCGCTAATTAATTTAGCATAAGCCAGTCTACAACTAGTGTCTATTTGATGACAGCAAGATCAATGCAGGCTGGATTTTTAACCTGTTTTAAAACTAGATATTATTCCCAGAACCAGGTAATGCTATTGTTAGGGTGGAGAAAAAAACTCTAGTATAGATAGTGTTTTAGAGAAGATATGCTCTATACTGGTTTTATACAAAACATGAAAGTTACAATTATAAAACTCAGCAAGAATTACTGTATTTCAATATTATTAGTTTAGCTTTTCGTTAAAAGCACCCTTATGACTTTATTTTCACCAAATCCTCCTTGCTTTTCCTATCAAAGCTGCTTTACACCCCTAAGCTCAAAGATCCAGCGTTCGATTTCACTGTGTTAACATGTTTCCGCTATAGCACATGTAGTTAAACTGTATTTACTAGTAGGTTGTACAAAGCAAAAAGATGCAAGGAGGTAGTGGCTGGTTTTTCACCACAGGTATCATTCAGATGTCAGCCACAGTCTAAAAAAAGAAGTAAGCTGAAGGATGGATAAAGTCTGTAATAGTGACTAATCTTTTATTTCCTCTTTCAGTTGCATGTCAGTCCCAGTTGTCATGAGAGCTATTTTCAGGAATGCTGCCAAGGTGAAAGCTGCCAGCGAAATACAAGATGTGAAAGCAGACATGAAACAGAAACCTGAACCACCATGTGAGCAAGTTACACATTCTGATAGTCCCGAAGACAGTCTTTCTGTGGCTGGTCAGCAAGATTTGGTAGTGACGGATAAGCCAAGTATTACAGACAGCGCAAAAGAAAATCCCTCCACAGCCAAACTGGAAACTCTGGGTGATAACACAGAAAAAAGTAACCCCACAGTAAGTACAGAAGCTTTGTGTGGAGCAGAGGAAAGTAATTCCACAGCTAGTACAGAAGCTGTTATGATAGATAAGAAAAACACACAATCTATTGTTTGATAATCAAACAAGAAAGAAGTATTTTCCGTTGTGTAGATTGCTTTTGCAGAAACTTGGCAAGCTCACTGTCTACTTAGTGATTTGTGAATGGAGTTTCCTCTTTGCACACTGTTAAATACACACAAGTAACGCTCTTGAATTTGCATGTTTAAACTTCCAAATTTGGAAAGTCTAACACTGCTCTAGTAACCTTTATTTTTGTCTGCACCATATTCTACCACAGTACAGAAGATATTTCTGTGTAACATATGTGATATAGGGTATAACATGACACATGCACCTCTGGGAAAGCAACTTTATCCATGTCAGCATTATGCTAAATAAATGGAGAAAATGAATGAACAGTTTTGCATGTATGTAATCTATGCAGATAGAGACTCCTAATTGCAGTTGTTTTCCCCTAATGCAGAAGTGGTACTGAATGACAGCCAAATTTACAGTCCACCAACTCCATGGCAGGACAATAGAATCTTTAGTAGGGAAGTTGTAAACTCAGTCTCTGAAAGTCAAGTAATTTTTACCTTAGCTTTTTTCTGGTCTCAAAGTATAAAACTGTTTTTGTGAATTTATTTTTTAAAGCATATTTCAGTTGGCTGTTCAAAATTTCAGTTTGTCTCTGTCTAGACTTGCTTTGTCTCAGACATGAAGGAAAGTCAAGCAACTTAAAACAAGTAAGCTCCTTACTGTAAATCATTTTAACTAGTGTAAAACAGAGACAGGAATTCATCAAGAAGAGACTTCCAGACCAGAGCTATTTGCAACTACAGTTAAGGGAAGCAACAGGAAAAGGTGTCAAATATAGAATGCTGGCACAGAAACACAGCACTATCAGAACTATATGTGTGTGGCTGACAACGTGGTTCAAAAAGGAAGGTGAATATGGCTGGCTTCCTTGAAGAGCTTGAGAAAAATACTCTGGGAATGAGGGAAAGAGAGTTCAGGCTAGAGGGACTGGCAAAAAAAACACAAGGAGTTCACTAGACTGGAAACATGTTCAGTGTGGTCTAAGAGGGTGAGAGGAGATGGTCTAACAGCAAAACAACAGTAATTCTGCATTCAAAGAGAATGGTGTATTTTCAGCACAAGTGAAATAACTAGAACTGTATGAGGAGGAAAAAATAGTTCTTAAATGTGAAAGTGCATTGCACAGTGGTTACAAGAGGAAGAATATGATGGTCAAAAAATTCCTATATTTTATACAGTGACTAGAGAGAGTCACAACACTCACATCAGCAGCAAATCTTCCTCTGTTTTACAGAGTTAGCACATCATCAACAGCAGCTTATTCTGCAAGAACAGCTGTCCATAGCACAGGGCATTTATTTTTTAGATATTAGAGAGGACTGATTTAGAGGGGCTATTTAAGGGATTTGCTCCATTTCCAAATGAGAAAGTAGGGGTGAGATGATAGCTTCTGACACAGAACAGAAACGTGTTTACCAAATCTCTGTAAAGCTCTACAAGTCCTTTCCCCTTTCTGTAAAAATTTAAGGTTAAAAGCAAGGTGTTTTTTTTCTTTTTTTGCCAGAAGCCAAAATGTGAAGTTTTGCAGAATTATCTCTAATGGAAAGTACCAAAATCAGACTTCCCTAAAATGAAGTGATGCATCAGCCATGGTCCACAAACTGAGAATCAAATACAGCTGAGATAATTTTAAATACCATGAAACAGAAAACCTAATGTTCCAGATGCTGGACATGATGGAGTATATCCACTGATAAGCCCAGTTGCTCTATTAGCCAAATAGTCTGCTTTTTAACCCAAGCAAGGGTTGACTTTTCAGGATCTGTGCAGAGTTTTGCCTTGCTGCATTCAGACTGCAAGTAACCAACGTCACCATTACTTCTGCAAGTGTTTTCACCAGAGCTGCCACCGTCTGCATGTTTTCCAGCTTGAACTTCATTGTATTCTGTCCCACCTGGAGCTGTGTGATTAAGGTCCATGTCCTGAACAGAATCTAAAATGTGTCCAAGATGTGGCTGTTGTTCAGTAGAGCTCAGGTACTTCAGCACATCTTCTTCGTGCTTTCCAACTGCATCAAGAAGATTATTTATCTCACTTAAAGCAGAATCATGTCCATTAAAATGACACCAGGATAAGAGAGCACTGAAAAGTTAAAAAAAAACAACAAAAAAGTGATTACATGTACTCACACAGACCTCCAGTTGTTGAAAGTTGATACCAATGTGACAAGATACTTATACTATATAAATGCATATATTTCATTCACATTTTCTGGGAAATTCAAGCAGTAGAACCGAGTATTAAGCTTAAAGATGTAGATTTAGATAATTTTGGCAGAGCAACTGAGAGAGGAATTTTAACAATGAGAACTCTACAACCTGTATTCAAGACCTAGATGATTCTCAGGCTGCTCACTCTGGACAGATTTACAATGCATGCTCCCTTCACACACACCCTCCACATGCATATGACCTTAAGAAGTTCGTAACTTACTTCAGGGTTCCTCTGAACTGGCCACATGTAACCATCAGCTCAGCACCGTGTCTGTAACCTTGATTAAAGCCTTCCTGGAGTGCAAGTTCTTTCCCAGCCTCAATTCCATCCCTATAGCCTTCCTGTAATAAGAGCAGTGAAACAGGTTGTTCACAAGATGAAAAACTAGACCTGTGACAATTCTGTAACAATAAAAAAAGCTTAAACGAGTGTTCAGCCTCTTAAATTACAGCTTCTAGATTTTAACATCTGTCCCAGCTAAACCCCCACTTCCAAAAGACCCAGAAGGTCTGAAAATAAGGAGAGTATTTTTAGAAACATCAGAAAATAAGAGAAATCTGGAAGAAAGTGCTTGCTTTTACGATAACCACCTCCTTTATAAAAAATTCATTAAGGAATACCACAGACAGATTTCTAGCCATCTAAAACTACACAAACTGCAAAACCTCCCTTTAGCAGAGGTACTCTTCAGTCTGTAATCCATCTACCTGTTTCCACAAAAACAATTACTGAGCCTTGCTTCTCTGCTGGATCTCATTTAATTCAAGAGTTATACCAGAAAAAATATGGTGATGGAGAAAATCACATGTAAATATACAAAACAATGTGATGGTTTTCTGTGAGAAACCATTAATGACTGTAATGCAAATTAATTTCTTCATATTCTGATCATATTACCATGTAACATAGAGTAATTCTTAACTTCTTTCACACCAAAATTCCAAGTTGTAAGAGTGAAAGCATCACTCATGAGTGAAGAAATAGCCAGGAACAAGAATGTTTATTTTGCACAACATACAGCTCTAACATCAATAACATTCTGTGATTTTGCAGTATCTACTTATAAAATATCAGAGGGTTTTGTATAAGAACACTGAACCGCCCCTTAAAAGAACCAGGCTTTTCAAGGGACTCACATGCAGGAGACTTTTCCTTGGAGAATACAACAGCTCTGTTGTAATACCCTTCCTCATCAACAGCCTACACAAGAGCTTCCATTCATGTTCTTCAGCCAAATGCTGTTCACCCTTGAGCAGACAAGCCCTACTGGTCCCATGTTGAATGGTAATGTATCTGTTGAAGTAACCCGGGTTTATGTACTTGTTTTGCTCCCTGTAGAATACCAGGGAGGCAAAGCCTGTGGAAAAAAGCTTTCATAAAATACTCTTTTCACTAGGAGAGTAAATAAGCCAAAGAACTACCCAGACCACAATATCCAATTGTGGTTTCACGTGGAGTCACAAATCTTACATCTGACTGATTAAGAACTCTACTTAAAAGCCCAAACATCTCCGACTTCTCTATTAGCACTGTTTAGCTGTGTTGCCCTACATTTACTAGTGGTATACTGCAATACAGTGGCATACCTACAAGTATGAAGCATACAGCTCACATCAGAATTGAGCACTGTCTTTTACAAATGCACATGACTGTACAGAGGGAGCTGATGTCTTTTAGTAAAACAGTACTTTGCTTGGATGACTACTAGGATAGTGTTCCTGTAAATCCCTGCTACATTTTCCTGGCATTCAGAAGAAACTAAGCCACAATAACTTTTTAAGCAGCCACTCTTAGTTTAAACCACAACACCCTCTTTAAATAAGCCACATGTATACCGAGGTATGTATCGAAATAGCTGAAATGGTTAAAGAGACTCTTAAACCACTGCTGTAATATTACCTTCAATCTTTTTTTCATGGTGCTATTCCATTCTTTCTGTAGTAGACACATCTCATCTGCATCTTCATCAAATATATCCTCACTGGATTGGCTGACTGCAGCTTGTACCCAGGCCATAACAGCAGTGATGGCTATGACCTCTGTTTATGTGGTTAAGAAAATACTCTCAAAAGTCCCCCTGGCTAAGTGTCCGAGTAGAATACAGGCACAAAATGCGAGTTCTGAAGAGGTCACGAAGGGAGCTGGTGGTTCAACCTGCACATTGGTTTCCACATGGAAACTCGACGCTGTTCACCATCGGGGTGCATCTGTTGAGACAAGCCAGGCAGATCATCACTCACAAAGCAACTTTTGAGGCTTACAGGGACAGCTCAAGGCAGCAGTTTCTGCCCTTACTACGGCAATAAAAAACAAGCGCCTTTCCTTGCAGCGGCACCAATGGCTCTCAGGGATCCCGGGGCCAGCAGAGCCGTACCGTGCCCGGCCACGCCGCTTCCCCCGGGACACCACCGGCTGGATTCTCGCAGCCTGCAGGCCCCTTCCCCGCGGCCCAAGAGGCGCACCCCAACCGGCCCCGCTCCCTGACAAACCATGGCCGAGTCCACAGGACACCACCGCGGTCCCCGCCAGGCCCCGCCAGTCCATTTCACGGCCGGCGCTCAGCTCCACACAAGCGGCTGCGCTGCGGGAGCCTTCTTTCCCCCTCCCCTCGCCTCGTTTCTCCCGGCTGCTAGCTCGGGCCCCGCCGCCAGCACAGCCCCACGCCCCGTACCCTCACCACAGCCGCCGCGGCACGGAGCTCCGCCACTGGCTGGGGGCCGCCATCTTGACTGATGGCAAACTGGCTTCACTGACGTCAGAAG